GGATTAAAATTGTGACCTCTATAGGGTCCACAACCTTGATATACCATATTTTTTACGCTATTTGAGAACGAATGGCGGCCATTTTGTCCGTCAATTTTGGGCCGATTTTCACAAAATTCGAACTCGGCCGTCCTTAGGGTGTAACAGTGATATAATAATACGTTATTTTAAATCGGATAAAAATTATGACCTCTATAGGATCCACAAGCTAAAAACGCGATTTTTCGTACAATCAGGGGCCATAATTCAGGAAGTTACGGTCCGATATGCGGAAATATCGACAGGAACCGAGATCTTTGGGTTATAAACTTACATTTCAAGTTTCAACAAAATCAGATAAAAAATGTGACCTCTATAGATTCCACAACCTTGATATACCATATTTTTACGCTATTTGAGAACGAACGGCGGCCATTTTGTCTGTCAATTTTGGCCCGATTTTCACGAAATTCGAACTCAGCCGTCTTTAGGGTGATATATTAACACGTTTTTTTAAATCGGATAAAAATTATGACCTCTATAGGGTCCACAAGCCTAAAAACGCATTTTTACGTACAATCAGGGGCCATAATTCAGGTAGTTACGGTCCGATATGCGCGAATATCGAAAGGACCCGAGATCTTTTGGTTATACACTTACATTTCAAGTTTCAACAAAATCGGATAAATATTGTGACCTCTACAGTGTTCACAATCCAAAAACGTGATTTTTCGTACAATCAGGGGCCATAATCCATGAAGTTACGGTCCGATAGATGCCAATATCGAAAGGAACCGAGATCTTAGGGTGATAAACCTATATTTCAAGTTTCATTGAAATCGGATAAAAATTGTGACCTGTAGACTGTTCACAAACAACCTTAAATCCAAATGGCGCAAATACAAAACTGATATAAAAAAAAACCCCAAAAACTAAGCCCAATATAATTTGCGCATGTAGTAGGAGCATTTTATCTTCATTGATAAGATTTGTAGAAATTAAGATTTTTCCTTAGGAAATTTTAGGCAAAATTACGTCACTTCCGGTGCCGACAGAAAACTTTATAGGTAGAAACAAGTTGAGAATTTGCACCAAGGAGTATATGAGCTTTTGTTTTATACAAATCAGGCAATAAATGATTAATTTAGAACCCATAAACTGTAATACAAATGCGAAAAGTCTTAAAAAGTGATCCTGACGAAATTGGTTATTTCTTTGCAAGAGAAGAAGCTAGAAGCTAGTTTTTGACATGTTTATGATCGTATTGATCCAATCTATATTTCCATTGGAATGAAATATCATAATGGTAAACGAATACTAAATTTAACTCACTTCAAAAAAATATTTGTTTTGAAGGCTTAAAATAAAGTTTTTGATAAAATGACATTACTTTCGGTGAGAATGAAAATGTTAAATTAGTTTTATGAAATCGAAAATCGAATAATATTTGACACTGTTATAGACCAAAAACCTTGAAAAGTGACTAGTAGAAAATCGTCTATTTCTCTGAAACCTTACAAGTTAGAACCCATTTTGTGGTATCTATATGGTCGTATGGGTTCATTCTATTTGTTGATTGAAATTAAATATCATACTTTTAAACAAATAACATATACGACTCATTTGAAAAAAATATCGGTTTTGAAGGCTAAAATTCAGTTTTTGCCCAAATGACGTCACTTCTGGTGACAGTAAAGGTGTTAAAATGGTTTAATCTAGTCAAACGTGGCATTCGGCATCAAATGGTGAAAGAAAATTGAAAATTGAATAATAATTTATTCTTGTACAGGCAAAATAACACGAAATGTGACTCATGCAAAATTGCCTATTTCTCGACAACTGCTGATATTACAAACTAATTTTGACATACATTCTCTTTGTATGGGTTATTGCTACGAGGTTATGAAAGTTAAAATGAAATATTTTGAAATATGAAGACGGTGGATGGGTTGTAAATAGCTTAATTTTACACCTTTTTTCACATTTTAATCGAAATAGCCCGAAAACGAAATCGAAATTAAAAAAACTGAGTCCGATGATTTGTGCGCCTTTGCATGGCGTATACTTTTGGTAATATCAAATTTTGAAAAAAACATTATTTGCTTTCAAAAAGTTGTACCGAACTGTCAAAATATGTCAAAATTGTAGTTTTTGCTGATTTTACTTCACTTACGGTGCCGACACGAATCTTTACCGGTAACAAAATAAATGACATTTTGGACCACGCAGCATATGACCTTTCTTTTGTACAAATCGAATAATAAATAATTAATCTAGGACTGAAAAACTGAATTAGCCAATGGCGGCCAAGGAAAATTACGGACACAAAAAATGTTGACATTTTTAGTCAAATCGGATAACTCTTCAACCCTGGTTAAAATATCATATAAAAATATTCATAAATAAAAAAGTTTTTTGTAAAATTTTAAATTTTCGAAAATTGGCGCTTAATATCTACGAAGATTCGTCGACAATCAAAAATCAAAAGTAGCACAGCTATGTGCCTGGTCTCCGGCTATGTCAAAATGCATCATATGTTAATACTACGTCATTTTTTTAAAAAACGCTTAATATCTACGAAGATTCGTTGACAATCAAAAATCAAAAGTAGCACAGCTATGTGCCTGGTCTCCGGCTATGTCAAAATGCATCATATGTTAAAATTCGATGATTATTGTTAATACTACGTCATTTTTTTAAAAAACGACAACTTTGGTGATTTCGGACATTTCGCATTGTCACAGAATGCCCAAAATAGCTTTAATCTCTAAGTCACACCCACTTTCCCAATAAAACCGAAGAAATCGTATCGATCCGACATGTAGTTTCTGAGATACAATCAAATTGGAAAAAAAAAAAATAATAATAAGAATAATCTTAACAAAAACAATAGTTTTTCACACAAGCTACGCAGTGTGAAACCCTAATAATAATAATAACTAGAACTGTGACGCAGTAATGACAGGTTTCACCAGTGCCCCGTTACCCTGGAACATATGTCACTTCCGGTACCGATGAAACCATTAAACAGGTTTCCATGTAAGCATTTCACACATCAAATCAAATGTAGGCAGAATCAACCAAATCCGGCAATATCAATTCATTGTATACATTTGTTACATGTAAGTGATCCTGACAAAATTACATTACTTCCGGTGATAATGAAAATTCTAAATTAGTTTTATGAAATCATAAATGGCATAAGGCATCACATGGTGAAAATTTTTATGTAAATCGAATAATAATTGCCACTTTTATAGAACAAAAACCTTGAAAAGTGACCTGTAGAAAATCGTCTATTTCTCTGCAACCGTACAAGTTAGAAACCATTATTTGGTATCTGTATGATCGTGTGGGTTTAATCCATTTGTTGATTGGAATCAAATATCATAATTTTAAAAACAATACAAATCAGACTCATTTGAATAAAATATCTGTTTTGAAGGCTAAAAATACAGTTTTTGCCACAATGACGTTACTTCCGGTGACAGAAAAAGTGTTAAATTACTTGTATGAAATCGTATCACACACTGGAAATTTTATGAATAATAATTGACACTTTTATGGACCAAAAACCTTGAAAAGTTACCTGTTGAAAATCGTCTATTTCTCCGCAACTGAACAAGTTAGAAACCATTTTGTCATATCTATATGATCGTATGGGTTCATTCTATTAGTTGATTGGAATCAAATATCAAAATTTTAAACAAAGAACAAATACGACTCGTTTGAATAAATTACTGGTTTGAAGGCTATAAATACATTTTTTGCCCAAATTACGTCATTTCCGGTGACATTGAAAATGTTCAATTGGTTTGACCTAGTTAAAATTGAAATTATGCATCAAATGGTGTCACTTTTATGAAAATCGAATAATAATTGACACTTTTACAGGCAAACTAGCGTAAAACGGGACTCATGCAAAACTGCTCATTTCTCGGCAACTGCTTATATTACAAACTAATTTTCACATACATTCTCTTCGTATGGATTATTGCTACACACTGGAAATTTTATGAACATCGACACTTTTATGGACCAAAAACCTTGAAAAGTTACCTGTTGAAAATCGTCTATTTCTCCGCAACTGAACAAGTTAGAAACCATTTTATGATATCTATATGATCCCATGGGTTCATTCTATTAGTTGATTGGAATCAAATATCAAAATTTTAAACAAATAACAAATACGACTCGTTTGAATAAATTACTGGTTTGAAGGCTATAAATACATTTTTTGCCCAAATTACGTCATTTCCGGTGACATTGAAAATGTTAAATTGGTTTGACCTAGTTAAAATTGACATTACGCATCAAATGGTGTCACTTTTATGAAAATCGAATAATAATTGACACTTTTACAGGCAAACTAGCGTAAAACGGAACTCATGCAAAATTGTTCATTTCTCGGCAACTGCTTATATTACAAACTAATTTTCACATACATTCTCTTCGTATGGATTATTGCTACTAGTTTATGAAAGTTGCGAAAAAATATATTAAAATATGAAAAGCCTGAGTGGGTTGTAAATAGCTCATTTTTTCACCCTTTTTCACCTTTAAATCGAAATTACACGAAAACAAAATCGAAATTAAAAAAAGTGAGTCCGATGTTTTCTGCACTCTTACAGGGCACACCCTTTCAGTCATACCAGATTTGAAAAAAATAATATTTGCTTTCAAAACGTGCATGAGAGATCAAAGGAAATAATATCCAAAGTGTGTAAAATATAATACCACTTATTGTCAACAAATGCTATTTTGGTAAGCAACTAATTAAGAATTAGGGTTTTCATCTTGAGAAATATGGAAGTTTGTGATACTCAGTAAGTTTGTAGATGACCATAATATGCCATATTTTTAACTCCATGTAAAGACATCAAAAGTTGGTATGAAAGAATGTTCGAACAGAAACATAGCTACATTTTAAAAGATTTTATAAAATAAAACTGAATATAAATGTCGCAGGGTTAATATTTGTATTAATGTTGTGCTTGAGTATTTTATTTTTGTGTGTTGAGGTTGTCCATAGTCTGTTCATGTGTGCTTGTATATTGGATTTGATTGGTTTGGAACTTCATCTGCGAAATGCACAGGGATTAAAATGCAGTCCACTACACACAATCATTAGACCACACGTTGAATGGTAAGATTATATTAAATATATTTTAGTCAAAATTATATCAATCATCTATAGCTTCAAAGTTATTGATTAGTTACGTATGACATGATTTGTCTATATTCGGATATGAATATATACAGTAAAATATTAACTGCTATCTTTAAAGTGGTGTACATGTATTCATGTGTTATGTATCATGTTATTACTCGTAACTTTGTTATCTGTATTTTGTGTATATTTTGCAGGTCATTTAAAATCATTATTTTTATACAGAACCTTAACATGTCTTGACATGTTTTATAAAGACCCCGTGGCATAAACTTACCATTAAAGAAGTCAGAATGGACGGACTTTTCATTAGCTGCCAAGTCCATCAATAGAGCACTCGATCCACCAGCCTGGAGTAGAAACAAGCCAACAGTGAGGCTCATGTCCCCCACCGAAATACCAAAATAAATAGATAACACATAATTAATTGCACATTTATCTTTTTCAAAAGTATCGAGTAATCAAACTGATTATCTATGCTTGGTCTAAGCATAAAATGTTAACAATCAAACTCAGTCAGATTTTGAAGTATCTGGTAGTGAAACTATACACTAAGTTTCATCAGTTAGAATCAAAGTTATCTTGTCCCAAACCATCGACCAATGAAATTGCTTAGCTCTGCTTAGCTTTAGCAGGAAATATTAATCATTGAACTCAGTCAAGACATTCGCCTAATGAACATATATACCTAGTCCGGCAGAACTATGGCTGAACCTTGAAACTGTATACAAAGTTTTTTTATGATTGATTTTAGTAGCCTAGGGTGTCCGCTTTAAGAATATACCGGGTGAACATGGGTCACCCTGGAGCATTTTGAGAAATTTAAGTTGGCGTCCAAGACGGCCGTCATTTCAAATAATCTCCTTTTACACCCATAGTATTTTGTCTAGGATGTTAATTTTGGTATCTAACCATATGTTGTTGAGGCCAAGGAATACACTGAAATCATTCATTATGTTATGGGGTGATTAGATGATAGTAAAATTCAAATGCCAGACAATATAGCTCTTTAACTCGATAGCGGCGGTTGGACGGCGATTATTTCACCAAACCAAACTATATCTAGAGACAAACTATATATTTCTGGACATAGGAGCATATGAGTGATACAATAACACCACATACATGCCTATCAGGGGATCCAGGGCCACATGGGACAGCCCTAAAAAAGGAGGGCACAAGCTGTGTTTTGAACATTTAAACCAGCGGTTGCCAGACAGGATACGCCCACATTTTGCAACAGATGGATAGAGAACAAGCTAAAAACAAACGCAATTTTTTGTACAATCAGGGGCAATAATCCAGAAAGTTATGCCTGAAATGTGCAAATATCAAAAGGGACTGAGATCTTTGGGATATAAAGATATGTTTTAAGTTTCATCAAAATCGGATAAAAATTGTGACCTCTAGAGGGTCCACCACCTTCGTATTACACACTTCTACACAATTTCTATACATAGAGCGGCCATTTTGTCGGGCAGTTTCATTTCGATTTTCCCGAAATACGACTTAACCTTCATTATGGTGGAATGGTGATGTATTTAAATCGTTTTTAAAATGGGAAAAAAATTGTGACCTCTACAGAATCTGCAAGCTAAAAATGTGATTTTTCGAACAATCAGGGGCCATAATCCAGGAAGTTAAGTTCGGGTATCCGCGACTATCAAAAGGAACCAAGATCTTAGTGGGTAATGGTGATATATCCACACATTTTTTTAAAACGGATAAAAATTGTGACCCGCTACAGGAACCACAAGCTAAAAACGTGATTTTTTTGTTCAATCAAGGGCCATAAAACAGGAAATTATGATCCGATATGCGCGAATATCGACAGAAACCAATATCTTTGGGTTATAAACCTTGATTTACCAGATGTTTACACTATTTGCATACAAGGGGCAAACCATTTTGTTCAGCAGTTTTGTCACGATTTTCACAAAATTTAAAGTCAACAAATATAACAGTGATATATTTTTTTAAATCGAATAATAATTGTGATCTCTATGGGGTCCACAAGCTAAAACGCGATTTTTTGTACAATCAGGGGCTATAATTCAGGAAGTTATGGTCTGATATGCGCGAATATAGAAAGGAACCAAGATCTATGGGTTATAAACATGCATTTCAAGTTTCATCAAAATCAGATGAAAATTGTGACCTCCAGAGGATCCACAACCCTGATACGCAATATTTTGACACAATTTGCGAACGAGGGGCGGCCATTTTGTCCGTCAGTTTCAGTTCGATTTTTACGAAATTCGAATTCAACCATACTTAGGGTGTAACGGTGATATATTCAAACAGTTTTTTTAAATCACGTCCACATGAAAATGTGGGCGTATAAAAACCCAATTCTACCCGCAAAATACGAAAATAACCCCCACACAACTAGGTAATATACAGTTTAATCCTTTAGTCGTGTGTCTGGTTGCAACCTGCGACAGCACAGGCGCAATATACTGTACATTCTAAGCCATCCCTAGAGGAGTTACAAGCAAGCATACTACTTGGGGTGTCACTCTTGCATCCACATCTGATGAGCCACAGGAGAAAGTTGACTGGTTGTAATGTTCTCAATTTAGTGTCTTTAACCCAGCAATACAGTTCCGGATTACGATCTTCCAGTGAACGCCACACAATAGTATGGTAGTGATATCTTTTTACGTTGCCTGCAAATGCATCTTTGTTGGAGCAAGACTACATGGTTTAGGAAGGAATGATGATGATGATATATTTCCAGATGCCTATACCCTTCGGCGTGTTTCCGGCATTGATTTGCAAGAGCTCTGTCCGTAACAAGCTGACAAGAATCATGTTACAATGAAATCACCAATCAAAGAAAGAACAACCGTTGACATTGGTCAAACTACGGAGAAACACATGTCAATTATTATTGAAATCCTACCAGCACATACTCTTTTTATTATTATTATTATTATTATTACAGCATATGTATAGTGTGCCCTTTCATATAACATGTTCAGGTGCCCTTTACAAAGTGACAATGTAAATCATACATAAACAACAAGATTATGGACATGTTAACGATTGTCTACAGAGTCAGTTAAAAGCCTGATTAAATAAATGTGTTTTAAGTTGTTTTTTAAAAGAATATAGAGATGTACAACATCTTAAATAGTAAGTGCAGGGGGACTGCACCACACAAAATTTACACAAAAACAAATACACGGACAGGACATCATACTCAGGAAAACACAAACATAATGACAATTCAAAAAAAGTGAATGGATCCGGGGGCTAGCCGTAAGCGTCCACTGCGCTGTACAGTCCCGGGTCTGTAGTGACACAGACGTCACTCAAATTTGAAAACAATTAGGAATACAACCCAAAGTGTAATGCCAGCATGAGTCATGATCTGTTATATGCTACACGAAATGCGAATGTAAGCATATGTAGTAACTATACAAGTAACCACATCGGTGAAATGTATAAAAAAGTAGTCTAAACTCTAAATTCAATCAAGAAACGTTTAAGTATTCAATACATATAGGGTACATGTTCCATCGTCACAAAAACAAAAACAAAACTGAATACAAAGAAGCAAAAGAGAAATGTAGACTGTCTCGAGGGACAGCTGTCTGCTGACTGAGAATGACGTCATATCACAATAATAAGGGCGATAATCCAGATAAAATAACGTTGAAAGCTTAAAAAACCATAAGTCTTAGCGACTAATCGGAATTATTAAGTTATGTAATTGTACAATATATAATATATTAATAATACCCCACACAAGAAATGCAAAACAGGTATGTTGAAGAAATCGTACTATGTAAGTGTATTTATAACGGCATAACATTAAGGGAGGTAATTCAGACAGGGTTAGGTAACTACAGAAAATCTAAAATAAAATTTAAATTGGATCATTATCCAGTATGTAGTCGGTTATATACTTACATGTACAAGAAATGTCGAACTTGGTATGTTGAAGTAATGGAAGTTTTGAAATTTCTTTAAAAATGCGTAATTGTGTTGCGCCTTTGGCAGTGCATTTAAAGTAAAGAGATTTTATTCGGGAGAGAAATAGTTCTTTATTGTTCCATATTGTAAAAAATCGTAATGCCTGTGAATAGAAAACACTATACATGTATAGCATGGTATCTCGTATGTTACAATAGATTGACGGGTATTTTATTACTTCACAACCAAATTTGTCCGTTTTGTCGAAAATACCGACATTAAATTTATTGTTAATTATATTGATGTTAAGGTCAAGAACAGATGCATTTATAGTACTGGAATTTTCTTTATTTAATATTAGTTCAGGAGGATATATTTCACTTTTATATTTGTTGAAATTTCCGTTATCATTGATAGGTGTTATGTCATCAATGTATCGGAAGGTATAGTTTAGACTTTTAGCTACTTTGTAATCTGTTTTTCTTTTATGGTCTTGAAAGTCGAATTCGTATTTATATAAATGTGCATTTGCCATAAATGGGGCGGGGTCAGTTCCCATTGGCAAACCAATGGTTTGTTGCATTATCTGATCCCCAACCTCAAATATGGCATTATCAATGAGGAAATGTATGATATTTTGAAATTTTTCTTTATCAAAAACTACAGTGTCGGCATTGCAACGTTTTATAATCCATTTAGCATCTTCTGCATAAATGGCCATCAAGTTTCTGCCTTTCCCAAAAGCTCCATTAAAGGCTTTATCTACAAACCAATCTAAATTATCCTTAAGATCTGCATGTTAAAGCATAGTATACAAAGTAGAAAAGTCAAACGTTTCTATTGAGTTAGCATTAATTTTTTTATTGATTTTTTCTAAAGTGTCTACTATAGGTTTATTTTTATCAATTATAAAACCAGCTGCTGCCAGGCAGGATACGCCCACATTTTCGAGAGATGGATAGAGAACAAGCTAACAAGAAAGTGATTTTTCCTACTATCAAGGGCCATAATTCAGGAAATTACAATTCAATATGCGCGAATATTGAAAGGAACTGAGATCTTCGGGTTATAAACTTACATTTCAAGTTTCAACAAAATCGGATAAAAATTGTGACCTCTATATAGGGTCCACAACCTTGATATACCATATTTTTACGCTATTTCAGAACGAACGGCGGCCATTTTGTCTGTCAATTTCGGGCCTATTTTCACAAAATTCGAACTCAGCCATCCTTAGGGTGTAACGGTGATATAATAATACGTTTTTTTTAAATCGGATAAAAATTATGATCTCTATACGGTCCACAAGCTAAAAACGTGATTTTTCGTACAATCAGGGGCCATAATTCAGGAAGTTATGGTCCGATATGCGCGAATATCGAAAGGAACCGAGATCTTTGGGTTATAAACTTACATTTCAAGTTTCAACAAAATCGGATAAATATTGTGACCTCTATAGGGTCCACAAGCTAAAAACGTGATTTTTCGTACAAACAGGGGCCATAATCCATGAAGTTTCGACCCGATACA